CTCTTCTCCGTGGTGCCCAGCAACAGGACAAGAGGCAATGGGCAGAAACTGAACCACAGGAAGTTCCATCTGAACCTGAGAAAAAACTTCTTCACTGTGAGGGTGACAGAGCGCTAGAACAGGTTGCCCAGAGAGGTGGTGGAGTCTCCTTCGCTGGAGATATTCAAAAGCCGTCTGGATGTGATCCTGGGCAATATGCTCTAGGTGACCCTGCTTGAACAGGGAGGTTGGACTAGATGATCTCCAGAGGTCCCTTCCAACCTAAACGATTCTGTGATTCTGTGATTCTACTCACTGGACTACTGGCATCACCGTCCTAACCAACATTGTGATACTGGCTTATTTTTCAAGTCTGGGCCAGGCCAAAGCCACCTGTGACAGCGTTATCATACTGATACTGCTATGTTCACATTCTCCACAAAACAAATGAAAGAAATCCACAAACACTGAAAATGCATTAGAAACACAGTCTAGCAGGGCTCCAAATCCTCTCTTGAGTTCTACAAATAATAAAAATACAATACAACAAATACAAATAATAAAAACAGAAAAAAATAGAATAAAATAGAATACAAACAGAAGAGCTGCACGTTCACTCAAATTAAATAAATCAACCTAGCAGCGTCAAGAGCGCTCAGGTAAGAGGGAAGAAAAACATACATAAAGGAAAAAAACAAAATAAAACAAAAAAAGCAGCCTCAGACACAGACAATAAAAAGCCCTTACAATTTCTGCTGCAACATCCAGTGGATCCTGAGAAGATGAAAACAAAATGACAAAAGCTGTAACTTGCTGGAAATATTTCTACCTGATAATCGATTTCTCTGTTTTCTCTTCTTTATCAGCCTGGGCTGGTTCTTCTACAACCTCGCTGCTATCACGTTGGGTCTTTAGCCTCATGCCCCTCCGTGGTGGCTTGATCTGAAGATTAGGAGGGCCACGTCGGACATGAGGCAGCTTTGGCTGCTTCTGAGAAAATAAAAGAGAAAAACCAAATCAAGATGTGCTTGATATTTGCAGAGTTCATATATCCCAATTCATAATTCAAAACATCCCAGTGTTATACACAACCTCAAAAATCCTAGCACACAAGTTCTGCCCTGAATGGAAGGTATGCTGAAGACCTTGCCTGATTTTTTTTTTTTTTAACTTTTGGTAAAAACTACCCAGTTGTTAAATCTACACTGATAAATTACCTTTAATTCAAACTACTTCTACTGCTAGCAGATATGAAGTTACCATAAAGCACTGTCAAAGGAGTGCAAAGGTACAGTAAATTTTTATTAGAATTAGCAACAAATCAGTGTGACATTGATTGTATCCTATGTCTCATATTCCACCATGCATGCTATTTAGGCTCTTTGCAACTGCCATACTGATACCCGCAGCACTCTACAGCACTAAAACTCCAAATAAATTACAGCAGAAAAGCGAAGGCTCAAGTAACAGGTCAACATGTATCTCACTCAGGTCAAAGTACTTCACTCACTAGGCGTATCAGTAATTAAGAAAAAGCATACTGAACACTTAAGACTACTAACAAAACAAGAGCATATATTACATATAAGAAGGATTCCTGCTATACGTGCTTCCACTCAGCTCCTCCTAAACGCTTACACTACCCAGCAGCCATTTCTTTAATAGGAACGCTAACGCCTTCAGACGGAATAAGAGAATTCCCAGGAACCACACATAGTCCCTCTTCTTTAGATTCAGTCTGCATACAAGTTAAAGCCAAGAAATATTATACTATAAACAAAACTCTTCCCAGGAGGATATAATTCCGTCCAGATAAAATTTTTATTGCAGGCTATAATTTCTTTTTCCACGACAACTGTTGGAACCAAGCACTGTTTGCAGGTTTCATAAAATCTTTGGCAGCTTTATAAAACTCATTTTTTTATCTTATGGTACCTGAGGTGAAAGCTCTGGGTAGTCTCCAAGGTTGGCATCTGCTTTCTGAGGTGCTGGTAAAACAGCTGGATTCGCCAACTTTAGTCCAGGAACTTCTGGTTCTATTCTCTGATCGTCCAATGATTTGTTTGTTAGACCTAGGCACACAAAAGCGCTTAGCACAGGGAATTAACATCTTAGACTCCAGCTAGAAATTTATGATAGTCAACCACATTCACATACTAGTTGCACCTCCAAAAAGTGTTTCCACTCAAGAAACAGTGGTAAATAAACACTGCTTGTAGATACAAAGTGTCTTTTGGTATTAACAATTTCCATAATATACAAGGAGGATGCCAAAAGGATCATGTTTTTCTTTTTTATTTTAGCTTTTCAAATCAGGCAGCAAGATAATACTGAAGGTAAATGTGCCTTTATATTTTAGAAAAGCTTGGAATTTCAAATCCCAAGACAGGATTATCTTCAGTGTTTACAATTGGGTTACCAATACCTACATACAAACATAATCAAAAAACACTCACGGTCTCCAAACCTCAAATCAAAAAAATGTTGCTGCTAGTCAACACAAAGAACTAAAAGGCATATTAAAAACACTTCTGAGTAAGCATATCCATTGAAACACATCACATAAAATTATCTAACAACTGCACTTTAATGCTTTAATGAATGCACCCAGTCATTGTCATACAAACTAAAATCAGTTAAGAAAACTGAAACAATCTCTTAAATATAAGAACACATTCAGGTAGTTCTGAGCCATGCAGAACACATACTTTTCCACGGCTCTCCCATGTTTGTATATGAAATGACTCCACAGACTGCCAAGAACGCAAACAGGAAGAGAATTACACTCCGCTGTAGTCGAGACAGCTGCTTCCATTTCTTTGAGAAAGAAAATAAATATCAAGAAGAATATTTAGCACGACATTAGAGAGCCCACTCAGTCAAAAATAAACTTCTATCAGTTCATTCAGAGTAAGACGTACAAAACCGAGTTAATTTTACCCTCTGTTTCCAACTGCAGAAGTCCATTGCTTATTTTCTTTGATGATAGAACAGAAATACAACATGCCAGCATATGGCACAGTAGGCTCAGAGAAACACCAGAGCCGCTTGCTGCAAGAACCTTAGAGACTGCTAAGTGCTGAGACTCCCAGAGAGAGCATCATCTAGAGCACACTGATTTTCATCACAACCTTTTGTTGGCTGACCTGTGCATCTGCCCAGATGTAAATCCTGAAGTGAGCCAAGAGACTCTTCCGCTCTAGTTAGTAAAGTATTATGAAAGATATGCAAAATAAGAAACTAAAGAAAGTGGTGGGAAAAATAAAAATGACATTGCAGCAAATAAAGGCTCAAAATAAGCTAAGCACTGATGATTAGACAGCAAAATCTAGGCGTTCTGCTTCTGACAAATAACCTTTGTGAAAATATCATTGAAATTAGGGCCTGCCACCCCACATATAGTCACCAACCTGCAACAACGTGAAAAGGAAGTAAACCAAAGGCATAACAAACGAGACAAGAACACAACATTCACAAGATTATCATTGGGCAAAAACGTGTTTTTCAAATTGAAGCAAGTGTTTACAACAAAACCACTACGAGTCAGACGTCAAATGCTATATTTAGCCTAACAGAGGAGCTTTCCCCACTTACAGGGGGAACAGCTGGAGTCTTTAACACTTTGATCTTAACTGCTAAATTACCATTTTGTTAGTTTTTCTAACAGTGCTAACCAGGTGAACTGGAGTAGCAGTTTGCTTCTAATGCCTTGCTTTAGCATATGGCAGGGAAGGCTTCCGGGCAAAGCTACGCCCGGGAACATTCTGCAGTTTCCTACATCCTGCTATACCCCATAGTACTACCTATAGTTCTCATCTTGTTAGTAAGAACCAGAGATTGCAACTGTTTCAATGAAGAAACGTCAGTGCATTCACTTTGCAAAGCCCCACAACGTACATTTCCTGTTATTACCACTGATGGCACAGTGATCCTGTGCACTCTTCCTTACGCACACAGCAAGATGCTGATCCTGCTCATTCACTTTCAACTCTATCTGCACTGCCAACTGTATCACGGCCTCCCAATTTCAGAAGGATGCTTGCAAAGCCAGCAGCTCTCTGTTCCCTCAGGGCAGAATGGGAAAAGAGTTATTAACTCTGTGCTTCATTCCTATTCATCCATCCTTAGAACACAAGAATACATCCCCAGGAGTGCATTCACTAGCACCTTACTTTTTGGCTGATAAAAAAATAAAGACAAAAGGAAGGGTGAAATGTCTCGTACCCTGCAACCACATTTCTGAAAAACTGTAGATAGGAGCGGAGTTGCAGCCCCATGACCCTAAAGAGATTCTTAATCTGACTGCAAGTCTCTACTAGATGGCCGTTCCTCTCCCCCTTTTTGCAACAGGGTGCAGGGTCACCTCCTCCTCTGGAGTCAGACTTTTCCACCCTACCTCTGTAGCCCAAGACAATCATCCGCATTCGAGCTTCCTGACCACTCCCTACCCCCAAGCAGAAAATAAGATCACTTCCACATAGCCCTGCCACCAACCCCCATCTAACACTCAACCTTCTCACAGAAAGTTGAACCATGCCCTTTACTCTGCCAGGGGAGAGGGCAGGTCTCCCCCTTCAAGCCCCAAAATAAGGAGCAAAGACACAATGTCCAAATCTGTCTCCCCTCTACTCCTGTTCAGAGAGCACAATCCCCCCCTACAAATCCCCTCCTCACCTCACCTGTAGAGCGCTGGATTCCTCCCCCAAACACACATCCTATTCTCCCCCACTTTGCTCACAAAAATGGATGAGGACATAAGCTACAGCACCCCCCAGCCAGCCTGCACCCCACCAATCCCCACTAGGTGGGGACCAAGGGGAACATCATCCCATGCCTGCCACCGCAACAGTGTTCTTCTCAGAGCCCCCAGCCTGGGGCATGCCCCACAGTCTGGGGGCACCCCCATTGCCAGGTGTCCACAGCCCGGCAGCATCCCCACCCCACAGCTTGGGGACAGTCAAACAGCCACATACCCACAGCCAGGTGCGCATCCCCCACACAGCCCAGGGGTAACCCCATCTGCAGCTGCAACCTCCTAATGGCCCAGAGCAACCCCCCCCCCC